AGGGAAACGTGGTCCGACCGGTGCGAGGTGAGGCGCATCCTGGTGCGGGGCCGAGAGGTGCTCGCAGCAGGCTGCTGCGCCCCAGGAAGCAAGCGGGAAAACCCTAAAGTGTAGTGGCGGAACGATGCACAACAGCCAGAATAAGTTTTCTGGGAAGCTGAAGACAGCTTGTCTTTGGCAGTAGACAGTAACTAGAGTAGGACAGATGTTTTCTAGACTTTATGTCCATCTTCAAAAGTCACGATTAGAGCATGAAAACACCTAAACGGGCTTTGCGACTGGCTTAATTTCAAGAATAAAACCTGTCTTGGAGCAGAAGAACGTATCAAGCATCGTATGCTATATGATGCTCAGGAACTTCTTCAGTGTTGTTTCATGATTGTACAATTTATTATTATTATTACTATTATTATTACTACTACTGCTGCTACATTCATGCAGTGGTGGCTAAGGTAACCCAGTAGCATTACAAAAATAATTGTTGACTCAAAATAACAATGGCCATTGGTGGCTCTAAGTGGAGTTTCTCTTGGACTTGAGAGGGTGGGGAGAGGAGGGAAGTGACTAAGCTGAGTGTGTAAGCCTCCTGCAGTTAAAAAGGTCTAGTCTTTGGTTTGATTCTTTTCTGGGTTTTAGTCTTTCTTTCTTTCTTTCCCTCCTCAGTTTTCCACCTCCATATTTTCTTAAACATTGTCAAAGGGGAAAACCAGGTGGGTTTTAGTCCATTGGGTGATTGTTTACTGCCTTGATCCAACAAGATATTTAGACATATGTCAAACTTTTATCCCATTATAAGACCCTGCAATTGCAGAGTTTCTGTTGCTTCCAATGGGAGAGTTCAGACACACTGAGTTAGGCACTGGCGTGCAGGCCATGATCAGGCAGATCCAAGAAGTTTCTGCCATTCCCTGGCTATTTGATCTACTGCAGGCCAGTGTAAGCTGCTGCTGGTTCCTGTGAACTGCTACCCCTTCTTATATGTGAGACAAGCCATGGAACAAAGTACAGGATGCCATGGGATCAGGTCTGGACCAGTTCCTTTCCTGAATAAAAACTGAAACACATCATGCTGGCAAAAATCTAAAATCATGACAAGTTTAACTCCAGTCTTTCCTCATTTAGCAAAGTCCCTATAACCCACTGTGGTCAAAAAAGTTGTGGGGTGGTTTTTTTTTTTTTTTTCATTTCTAACAGACTGGCTGCAGCTTCATCTTTGGGATTAGAGTGCTTTCAAAGGATCATAAAATAACCAAGTTGTTAGAGAACAGCTGATGTGTCCTCATATGAATTTATGACAAAATTTTAATTTGCTGTGCTGCTGTCTTAGATACTACTTTTTGTTGTTGATGATGATGATTCTTCTTTTTCTTTACCTTTTCAACTTGGAAAAATAAATGCAAAAGGTCACTGAAGATATTCACCATAATATCATTCCTTTCCAGACTCCATTGAACCTGAGGATATGCCTTTGGAAAGCACTGAAATGACACAGGATCAGCTGCTGAACTATCAGTTGATGTTTCCCATAGGCCAGGACAAATCCATCCCCTGGAATGCCATCACTGCATATGAAAACATGAAAGCAAAAAGAATATCTGAACTCAAGAAATGGAAAGAGCAGGTGGGTTTTCTTTGTAAACTTTTCTGACACCATTTCAGTAGATGCTATTGATTCAGAATACAAAATGAAAATGTGCATGAAATGCTAGCAGCAACACTGGAATGTCAGTATTTTGGGTAGCCAGCAGACAGACTTCTGGAATGCCTTTATCAGAAGCTTGAGGAACAGGCAAAATGGCAGGAGCAAAAAAAACAGGTGTGCATTGGATATGTCTTATACAGACACCATGCAGAGACTGAATATTTCTCTGCATTTACTATAACATGGGCCCTTAATTTACAGGATTCCATATTAAAATCTCCTTTTGTGTTAGGTTTTTTTTTTTTTGTTTAGTTAAAAAATAAAGGGCATTTGTCAGTGGTCCAATGCTCGGTGAAATGAAAGGGAGACCTGACATTGATGAAACACCAATGCAAACCAAAATGTGTTTCTTTCTGATCACAAGGAAACGTTATGAAGTAGATGCATGTAAAAAGACAGAAAGCTCAGCAATTAAAATAAGGTTTCACCTTCGACACTGCAAAATCTCAGTGGGTAATGGGGGTGTGTGGCCTTTGCAAGCAAGTCCATGTTCCACTTGAGGGCACCAGAGAACCACGGTTAGACCAGTTCCAGACAGCCAGCACACCCACAGCACGGAGCTGAATTAGAACTGGGCACCACAGAAGCCCGTTTTGTAATGGTCACAGACAAAATGGGAAAAAAAAAAAAAAAGCAAAAACCTACTAACCACCACCCACCCTAGGAATCCTCATTCCACATCCAGAACAGGGCTTAATCACTGATTTAGTTTGAACTGTTATGCATAAGTGCTGTTAGCTCCAGTTCTGATTTTTAGGCTCCTGCTTTTCTCACCAAGAGCCACAGATAAGCCTGTTGGCTTGAACAGGACCGCGTATGTGAGGGGCTGACACAGGGAGGTATTGCAAAAGCAGGGGGTATGATTATTTTCACTCTAGAGTAAAAATATTTGTTCAGTCACTTCTCCCCTTTCACTCATTTAAACACATTAGGTACTGTTAATACACGACAACTGAAAGAGAAGGGGAAAAGGGAGAGAGCAAATTGTGAAAATAGTGAATATTGGAAAAAGTTCTTCATCCCTGGTTCCAGGCAGTTTGAGTTTGGGTCTCAGAGCCACAGGGGGTGCTCTCTGTTCTCCTTTGGCGACAGCTCTGTCCTGTACAAAAGATAACAAACATTCAGATGTTTGTTCTTGCACCATCTATATATGTCTTGCACCTATTCTCCGTGCATCAACAGAGCGCAGGGCCATGGCAACCCAGAAAACGTGGCTAGTCTCACGTACACCAGCCTCCTAATGTGCACCTCCCATAATAGGAGAGATTGTACCCTCTGAGCAGTAATGTGTTTACTTAGTACAGGTTAAATTTCCTTGTGTGGCAATTTAAGGACTTAAATCCTCATGTTTCTGAGAACAGAAAATGCCTCAAAGAATAAAAACAAAGGCCTAAATGCAACACCAGAATTTTCTGGCTGTGCTCCTACTGAAACAAGTAAAAACTACATGCAAAGCAGCCTGGTGCAGATTTTATGACTAATAAGTATTTTCAGCTTTTTGCTAGCTTATATATATGCTATGTATAGCATTATAAAATGATCACTTTTTGTTTAGCTGGTTTCTTTGTGATTTTGTCATGGTTTAACCCCGGCCAGCAACTAAGCACCACGCAGCTGCTTGCTCACTCCCCCCACAGTGGGATGGGGGAGAGGATCAGAAGAGTAAAAGTGAGAAAACTCATGGGTTGAGATAAAGGCAGTTTAACAGGGAAAGCAAAAGTTGTGCACACAAACAAAGCAAAGCAAGGAATTCATTCACCACTTCCCATAGGCAGACAGGTGTTCAGCCATCTCTGGGAAAGCAGGGTCCTATCACAGTTACTTGGGAAGACAAATGCCATCACTCTGAACGTCCCCCCCTTCCTTCCTATTCCCCCAGCTTTACATGCTGAGCATGATGTTGTATGGTGTGGGATATCCCTTTGGTCAGTTGGGGTCAGCTGTCCCAGCTGCGTCCCCGCCCAGCTTATTGTGAGCCCCCAGCCCACTCGCTGGTGGAGCGGGGTGAGGAGCAGGAAAGGCCTTGGCTCTGTGTAAGCCCTGCTCAGCAGTAACAATTATTATCTACACTGTTTTCAGCACAATTCCAAAACATAGCTCCATACTAGCTACTATGAAGAAAATTAACTCTATCCCAGCCAAAACCAGCACAATGACTAATAAGTATTTTCGACTTTTTGTTAGCTCTATAATGATCACTTTTTGTTTAGCTGGTTTCTTTGGGATTTTGGTATTGATAACCTTTGGATGGTATTCCTGCAGGGACCTTGTCAGAAGGAGCTCTACAGAGCCCTGTATAAACTGGCAAAGGCACAGCAGAGAAGCGGAGGGGAGATTTACAAATTCTACTTGCCCAACTGCAACAAGAATGGATTTTACCACAGCAAACAGGTACGACCACGCAGCTGCTTGCTCACTCCCCCCACAGTGGGATGGGGGAGAGGATCAGAAGAGTAAAAGTGAGAAAACTCATGGGTTGAGATAAAGGCAGTTTAACAGGGAAAGCAAAAGTTGTGCACACAAACAAAGCAAAGCAAGGAATTCATTCACCACTTCCCATAGGCAGACAGGTGTTCAGCCATCTCTGGGAAAGCAGGGTCCTATCACAGTTACTTGGGAAGACAAATGCCATCACTCTGAACGTCCCCCCCTTCTTTCCTATTCCCCCAGCTTTACATGCTGAGCATGATGTTGTATGGTGTGGGATATCCCTTTGGTCAGTTGGGGTCAGCTGTCCCAGCTGCGTCCCCGCCCAGCTTATTGTGAGCCCCCAGCCCACTCGCTGGTGGAGCGGGGTGAGGAGCAGGAAAGGCCTTGGCTCTGTGTAAGCCCTGCTCAGCAGTAACAATTATTATCTACACTGTTTTCAGCACAATTCCAAAACATAGCTCCATACTAGCTACTATGAAGAAAATTAACTCTATCCCAGCCAAAACCAGCACAATGACTAATAAGTATTTTCGACTTTTTGTTAGCTCTATAATGATCACTTTTTGTTTAGCTGGTTTCTTTGGGATTTTGGTATTGATAACCTTTGGATGGTATTCCTGCAGGGACCTTGTCAGAAGGAGCTCTACAGAGCCCTGTATAAACTGGCAAAGGCACAGCAGAGAAGCGGAGGGGAGATTTACAAATTCTACTTGCCCAACTGCAACAAGAATGGATTTTACCACAGCAAACAGGTACGTGCCTTTTCCCCTGTCTGCTCACAGCAGCGCTGCGACTAGCCTGACACAGCCAACCCTTTCATAGCCCTCTCCTCCCAAACTCACAAGTTTGCAGCTGCTGGAAAACCAGGTTGTGAAAACAGGGATACTTAGTAGTGGGAGCAGATGGTTTATCCTTCTTCTCTTAAAAATGAGCCGCATGCTGTGGGCTGACAGCAATGGAGGCAGGAGTCTTTTCCATTCACAGAACAGGTGCACACACGGCCTTGTCCAAAATCTTTTAACCCTGTCTGCTCCCAGGACAAATCAAGTTCCATGTACCTGATTTTTTAGCATATTCCCAGTTGATGTTTATTCGTAATATCCACCATACTGCCTGCAAAGCCCATTGAATATATTCAATTCACTGTGAATGAATATGAATATAATCACTATGGAGAAAGGAGGCTCTCAGCTCCCGGGTAGTGAAAAACTTACACAGGCAGTGAAAAAACTCTCCAGGGCAAAATTAGCCTTCTGAAAGTAGAACAAGAATACTGATTTGTGCTGCCTATGGATTACGTTATATGCTCAATTCCATTATAGCCTCAAAAAAAGCCGTTGCAAGTTACACTGAGAGTAACCTGCAAACCTAACTAAAGCTCCAAACCTCAAGCCACACCCTTGTAACCACAGGTCATGCATACATATTTAGTAGGTCTGCATAAATCTGTGTCACCAAGACTCTTTGTTTTTGGGCATGGCACCGCTGCATGACTCACAAACATTGTGAGCTGGGATCTAATCAGTGATGAACAGAAATATGTTTAGCCCCCTCCCCAAGAAAAAAACCACCTTATTTGCCTCCTTGCATGAAGAGTCAGGCCATCCAGTCATTGTTCCTGCCCTACCAGCTCATGTATTCCACCTTCCTTTGGTTTCTCACACTGGAAGATGCAGCTGTTCTGTGCTGCCTGTTACCAAGGAGTGGGAAAACTGTTTTAAATCTGAAGTTGCTGTTGTGGTAGTTGAGCTTGGGCCGTGGCTCCCTATCAAGTGTGTTGGTCAGAGGGTCTGTCAGAGCAGGGACCACTGCATTCAAAACAAGTCTGCGCACGGCAGGTCCCCAACTTCTGATCCTAGTTCTGTCCAACACCTCTGCTTGCAGTATCCCACATGTAATATTCTGCTTACAGTTACTTATTGTGGGTTTTGTTTTGCTAATAATATTCTAGTGCGAAACTTCACTGGATGGAGAGTCTGCTGGATGCTGGTGTGTCAATCCAAAAAACGGAAGAAGAATTCCTGGATCTCCAGAAATGAAAGGAGACCCCGAATGCCAACAGTATCTCAACTCACAAGAATAAAACTGAACACATTCATTCACACCAAGCTTTCTGTGGGGCCTGATCTAGCCAGGAGACATTTCAGTCAGGAGCCATTTCAGTAAGGTGCACCTGATTTTCAGCATATGAGTAACCCCATAAAGTAGGTTTTTTACTGCACTGGGATTACTCAGATGCTTGAGTGACAGATACGAGCAACTGCAAGATCAAGTCCTACAATCTTGTATATTTTGTTTGTATAATATTATAGATAACCTCATATGTAAAGCTGTTGAATTATTTATTTCACAGTCCGTGTATTTTTGTCTCTGTGGGTTGTTACTAATTTATATCCTCAAACACTTCATTACTTTATATGTAAATACTTAATATTATTGCTCTTAAATGTATGCATCTTATGTTGGAGGAATGTTGCTACTTAAAACTTCAAACGGCATAACTATTGGGAAAAATGGCTTGTAAACTTGCATTTTTGTACTATGTATTTATAGACATAAGACTGAATTTTAAAAAATACCTTTCAGTAGAGAACATGCTTAGAAACTTATTTAAAACCTGTTTTGTTTATATATCGTGTTGCTTTTGCACCTCTGTTTCAGTGTCACACTGTTTCTTAAAAAAGGAAGTCTAAACCTTGATTATATACTGAAGCTCCTGATGGGACTGTATTTGTTTCTATTTTCCAAACATACACACCGGATAAATGGCAAAACATAACAGGATATTCTGTGCTACCTTTGACAGGTATAAGTTGTTCACATGTTGACATTGTCATGTTATTTCAGATGAGCTACTAAATAATGTTGTCTACCCTGCCCCGGCCTCTTGCTTTCTGTACGTTCCCATTCAGCAGTCTGACCTCGGCAGGACAGCATAGCAGTGGGTAGGAGCACAGAGGAAAACACGCCGCTTCCAAATCTGCCTCCTGAACTCCTAGCTCCATTTTCCTGCAATGAGTTTTCTTCTTTTGCTCTCCCCATCCTGTTCCCCTTCTCCCACCCTCTCCAATCCCAGCTGCACTCTGCAAGCCTTTGCCTTGGGCAAAGCAGCAGCCTCCAGGGGAAGTTATTAAATGGTTTTCTGGGTAGGAAACCTGGATGCCTTTCTCTGCTCAAAAGTCCAAAGCGGCAGTATTAGTGTATTTAAAAGATAATGTTGAGACTAGAGAGAGCCATTTCCCGTGCAGAAATTCAGAGGTTATAAAAGGGAGGCTGGGGAAAAGCCTTACTGTTTTCGCTGAAAGCAGAGAAGAGAGTCCCCCTTGGCTTGGATGTGGTCCCCCTCCCTCCCCAGCGTGTTTCTTCGTCTTAGTGGTTGCAGAGAAAAAGAGAGAAAGCAAATTATTGTCCTGCCAGCTTCAAGCTGGTTTTGTCCATGGAGAAACTGGTGTGGGAGTTAGCAAGTCCCAGAGGTGGAAACAGGCTGCACCAACCCTGCCTGAGAAAACAGCCTGAGAGGAGAGTAATAACATTTTTTAAGAGCCTGGCAGGAGGGAAACAACATAAAATCCTTCTGCCATTTGCTGGCAGAAGCTTTCAGTTTTAAATGGGAATGGAAAGCAGCTTGTAGAAACTGCAAAGCCAAAGTGTGGAGATCTCTGCTCTCCTTATCACGGTTCTGTGGCATCAGACGTTGCATGAATGCGTTGGCTGTATTTGCATGTCAATGTCAGATGGTCCAGTTGGGGCCTAATAAACTGCTCCAGATTTAAAAGTATGAATATACTACTGAGCTTCTTTGTGAAGTGTTAAGAGGAAAGAAAGCACTGCAAAAGAAGTTGATGGCATTGGTATTATAAATAATTAACATCTAACCTCCCTGTAATGAGCTACAGTGAGACCTGGCTAAAACTGTGTTACAACACTGCATTCACTGTGTCAAAACACTTGGCAATCATTGTATCAAAACAATGAAGAATCAGCAAATTTGGGCAGAACCTTAAGAGTCCTTTCATGGAGTCTACCCAGCACTGAACAACTGTCATGCAGCATTGCCAAGGGAAAATGGTGAAGAAAGGAGAGGAAATCATACACTCATAGCTACAGCACACACTTAAGAGCATTCTGACTGCTCTCACCCCATTGCCCTTGTGTAAAAGTTGATCTCTAAAGAGCAGAAATTGGTTCTTTTTGTTGGGATCATTATACATATATAGGAGAATTGTTCATCACAATAATAATTATTAATGGCACAGTCTATTTGCAGTATAGCAATCCAGTGGACAGCTACTTCCAATGGCAGGTTCCCATCTAAGTGCAAGAAATTAGAGTTTTTAACAGGGGCAGGGTTTTAGGGGAACTTTTTCCTTTAAATGTTAAGTACCAGAAGCAGAGGTTGCTTCATAAGCATTCAGGCATAACAGGCCAATCTCTTAAAGGGGTTTAGCTCCTTGCCTCCCACTGAAAGCAACAGGGGATGGGTGCCTCCTTATCTGCAATCTGGCCTCTTGTGTCATCTTGCCAGGACTCACCAGGACAGACTTCTGCTGAACTACTCTGGGATGGGCTGTCTGCCTTGAGCCAGACTCTTCCATATACTGGGATTAGGACTAATGCAAGGAGGCAAAGAAGGCAAATTTTATCTCCCCTATCACAGTGCTGCCAAGATCTTGGGCTACATTTAGGCCATAGATACCACACGTTGTGTTTTGACCTGATGTTTATGATCAGCCTCAGTAACAGGGTAAAAAATCAAAGGTCTGTAGTTTTCCTTTGTTTTGGTTAATTTTTTCTGTTTGTAGTTTTTTGTTGGGTTTGGGGGATTTTTTGGCATGTATCAGCTGGCAATCCTGGCTTCAGTGTGTTCCTGTTGCAGTGGTTCCACCTGCACTGGTGAGCCAAGACTGATGGGAATGAGCGGGGAAACAGAGTACATGCTGCAGGATGCTCTTAGCAGCTCAGGTCACCAGGCATGCAGCTGGATGTGTAAAGGGGATATACTGTTCCTCATTATTTCAGATCCCTCCCTTCACACCCTCTTGAACTCTTCCTACCCCATCTAAAAAAAATTAATTGGTGGGAAGGTCTTAGGTGAGCATCTGTAATGTTTGGTTCATGTTATCTGAGAACTCTACCTACCCAGTTTGTGCTTCTTTCTGCCAAAACCCTGCAAGGTTTGCTGCAGCAGGGTTTGTTCCAGCCATGCCTCCTCCTGTCCCTGGCCTACTGCCAGCTGCAAAATGCTCATAGCACAGAAATTAGGTCACTGCCCTCTGCACTTTATTTTCTACCCTCCTTTTCCCCTAAAGCTGTCCAAGACAACCAACAGTCCCCTGGTATTGGGCTCTGCTCATACTGAGTCAGTTCTGCGCATCACTTTAGGGTACAGCAGAGACACATTCAGAGGCAAGGGGAGAGAAAGAAGGAGAGAAAGAAAATGGGGGTGGAGGGCAGCCAACACTAATACTGAAAGCTCATCAGAATCTCTGTCACTTCTCTATCATAAGAACACATGCTCTGCAAAGGCAAAACGTAGGCAGGGAACGGCTTTCTACAGACCCAGCTCAAAGCACAATCAGATACTAAGCACGTCAAGATTTAGCCTTTTCCTTTCCAAAACCAGTATATTCCTTTGACCTTGCACTTGCTAGTGAGAGTCCTAAACACATCACAAAATAAAAAAGCAAACAGAAAATGTGTCACATATAGCTTTCTTTCCTCCAGGGGAAGAAAAGTGGGATGGAAAAAAATGGCACATGGCAGAGGCTTGTCACAGGATTTACTGCATTCCTGGAAAGCCCTCAGCTCCCATAGCATCAGACACTATGTGGGAGCCCCAATGAAACACTTTTTTTTTCTGAAAAGTCAGAACCAAAGATGTTTGTGTTTTACCAGCAGTCTAGCAGCACTGACTTTGCAGAATTAGAAACGTTATTTTTCTACCCACATTACTGCCTGCTGTTGCAGAATAACACCAATGTCTAATCCCCACCCAACCCATAAAAATAATAAAAAGTATCTCTAAAAAAAAAAATCCAAGTGACTCATTCCAAGCTAGACTCTCAGCCCATGCTGCACGTTCAAATGGACAACTCCTATCTCTATCGTTAGAGAACACCTTTGAAGTGGGTCTACTTTTCCTCGGCTATCACTTCACTGATAAACCACTAGCCTAAACAGCCTCCCCAGACTGCACTGATGACAGGTCCCAGGCTTTCTATTTGCTGCGACATTTTGTATTTATGGATCAAATATTTTATGCATTTGTTGCACGTTGCATCAAGAATCAGGCAGGGATTCAGACTGCACAGGAAAGTGGGGTATGAGCATCTTAACAAACACCTAATTGTGTTGAGTACATTTGCCTTATTTAAGACTTGGGTAGATAGCACAGACTGAGTAGCAGTAGCAGAGTTGGGGCAATTGGAGGGCTTCTCTTACTGACATCTCACCCTATAGTACTTAGTCACATCCAGGTAAAGGTGGGAGGGGACAAGGCAGGAGAGGATCTGCTGGGAGCACAGCTGGTTAGTTCTGTATTACCAGGAAGTACCAAAATCAACAGCAATGGAGCAGGAGCCTAGCTATAGCAGCACTTGCACTCTGAGTAATGAAAACAGCTCTTAACAATAGCTCTGTCAACAAACAAGTGCTTTATTTTCCGTCCTTTCCTCCTCCCTTGACCTACCTACCTCCTCCAGGATGCAAAGTTCATCTGCAAGCTACTGCGAGGGCCCAGGGAGAGAGGCAACCTCCTGCAGGAGAGATGTGGGAGCAAGGGTGCTCGTGGATGTTGAAGTAAGGTCAAATGAAATAATCTAAACTTAGCCTGTTCCAGATCTTGGCTGTTTCATTTTGCAAAAGTTTCTGCTTGCCTTTTCGGACTCCATGTTGGATTATCGCCTCTGACCGGCAGTATGGGCAGCTCAGCAGAGACAAGGGCATGCAGGGGAAGGCAGGGCTGCACACATGCTTGGCTTCTTGCTGCTTCCTTACGAACCGCATTTCCCAGCAGGGACAGTGCCTGGCCTGCGGGGCACAGCTATTCTAGCAGAGCCTCCCTGCTGCAGTTCTGCTTGCAGA